TTAAGTGGAAAAAAAACAAGTCGCAAAATAAATCAGATTATTCCTCAAAAATCCTACCTTCTGGCCAAGCATGGTAGCTCACACCTGTTATCCTGACACTTTGGAAGGCCAAGGCAGGAGGATTGCTTGAGCTCAGGAGTTCAAGACCAGCCTGGACAACACAGCAAGACCCCCATCTTTACAGAAATAAAAACTTTTAAAATAGCCAGGCATGGTGGCATGCTCCTATACTTCCAGCTACTCAGGAGGCTGAGGCAAGTGGATCACTTAGAGCCCAGGAGTCCAAGGTTGCAATAAGCTACGATTGCACCACTGCGCTCCAGTCTGGGTGAGAGAGAATCTCTCTCTTCAACCAACCAACCAACCAACCTAGCCTCCTAGAAGTATTTACCCTTAGTCTGTAACACTCATGACACCTCTCTGTCACTCTCCCTCATTCACAGAAAGACTTGGCACTTAAATTTTAATTTCTCTCCAACTACTCAAGTGATCATTCCCAAAGGTCTCAATATTGGTATACTCCCTGTTCCTTCACCTCCTTAAATAAATCTTTCTCCATCCTATTTCAGCCATCTACTCCATGGTCATACCCTAAACTTTGTGATATCCATAACTAAACTATCTTAGCCTTTTACATTGAGAGTACCACTTCCTAGCTTTCCAGCTTTATTTATAATGCCTGTGATCCATCAAAGTTTCCAATCCATTGACCCTACAACTCTTTCACTATCAGATCCCTCATTTCCTCAATTTTCCCCTTAAACAACCTAGATCCATCATCCAAAACTGTAACAACTTCCTTGTATACACCTTCAAGTCCATCTACTGCATCTCCCCATCATACTTCTGGCAAAATCCCAACCCCGATTAAACCCAACATACTGTTTACTCTAAAAGTTTCCTAACTAGTCTTATTTCCACTGTTGTCCCAGGAGACAGAGGCAACCCAACATTCATTTTCTCCTTCCTAAGAGAACCCTGACTTTACTTAGAAAGTTAATGTTCCTAGCTAAAACAACATGCTTCTCAGCCTCCCTAGCAGCTAGAGGGTTTGTGACATCCCAGTGGCTAGTACATACTAAGGGTACAATAAATATTTCATTAACCATATACATTAAACTATTGATTCTAGGTACTTCTGGGAAGGACAGTGGGAAGAAAGGTTAAAAGGGACTTTCACATTTTGCTCTGATATTTCTAAATTTTTCTTATGTTAAAAAAACACAATTAACTACAACACATGCAGAAAGAAAAAAAATCTAAATATATTTAGAAATACAAGCCTATTAGTAGAAATATAAAATTCAGAAACTCATAGTGACCTCAGTAAGCATATTAACTCAAAAGCCTCTGGCTAGAAAGGACATTAAGACCACCACCAGCTCCCTGTCATTGGTAGGCCCTTCAATACTGGTTCAGTACTGTTCTACAGTAGTCCCTAACCCCAGCCTGGTTTTTTCCCAAATCTCCCACAGGAAATAGAATCCAGGATTGTTAAATAAAGTAATACCTTCCAAAATAACTAAAATTAGGGGAATAAAAATTCTTGTTAACTTTTCACAGCCTTTATAAAGGTTTTTACTGTCATTTAAAGTAACAGAGTATAGTAAATGAAAAGTATATTAGTAGCATATCACACATCAAATTAGTAATTCGTTGTGTAGAATTAATTTCCACTTATCTTCCTTTGCTCAATACAAACTTTTGAAGATCTACTGAGATCTGTTTTAGAAATCATCAATAAAATCCTTCATTTCCATTTAATCCCTGTTCCCATACCCTATCCCAATTAACCACTAATCTACTATCTGTTACTACTGTTTGTCTATTCTGCCCATTTTCTACAAATGGAATCACAATATATGGTATCTTATATCTGGCTTCTTTCACTTAGTATCTTTTTGAGGTTCATCCATGTGGTAGCACCTATCGGGTTCACTCCTTTTTACTGCTGAATAGTATGCCATTGTATGGATATGCCGTATTAGTGCCTTTTGATGTTATGGCTTAGACTTGTATTTTCCAAGCTATACAGTGGATGAAGGATGATTTGGGTACTTGAGGTATTAGAGGAATGACCGGTAGCTAACTTTTATTTAAGCCAAATGACATGAATGTTTCTCAAACTCAATCTAGTTTATACAGGATGAGATTATCCTAGCTTCACTCAACAACATTATGGCATCAGCCCCTTTTAAAACCACTGTTCCATACCTCTCCTGTAACAGGAACATAAATCACATTTCCTCAAGGTTTCCTTCTCTCTCCCAAGGTTTATAAAAACCACTACTCTTACTAGGCCTTCTGCTTTACCTCCTTTTTGTACCTCCTATTCCTTGTTTTCGCTAAGATTACCTTCAAACTGATAGCTTCAAAATTTCTATATTTTCAAAATGTCTAAAAAGATATATTAGAATACCGTATTTGTACCTTCTGAAATTTTATCTAAAAAGAACCTGTTCTTTTTATGTGGTCCATGAAAATAATTTCTTTTTAAACAGAAAAAAAAGCTTCGAAAGTAATTTTAAAAGAGACAAAAACCACACAATGCCAACATAAATGAAGCATGAAGATCCAAGTCAACATCTGACACCCTCATTTACAAGTGAAGATCAAAGAATATACAGTAGCCACCATTTCCTATTATCTTTTCTCTTTAATGTGATCTTGCTAAACACTGATTTTTCATTCAGTGAAAAATACCACAATAGTGATGGCAGCAGCAGCCTGTCTGGAGCAGGCACTGTGAAGATGCTGGCTGCAGTAGGAAAGGGACATCCAGGGCTGCATGCTCCATGGAGCCGGCAGGAGTCAACAGGAGCCGGGAACAGATAGAAGTCATGCCCACTTCCAAGTTGAAGGGGTGGGAGCCCTGCCATGCTGGGTGCAGTTGCAGTCACCCAGCCATGGCTGCAGGCATCCCTGTGCTCATGGGGGCCCAGGAAGCCCCCCAGTCCTCATCTCCCACCCCCAGAGGCTCAGAAGTATCTGCTCCGATAGCCTGGCCTCTCCCCACTCCCAGCACCCACACCAACTTCACAACAAAGTTGTGACGGAGCCTAGGTGCTATCACTAACCAGCCAGGTGGGAGCAGAATTGGGGTGGTACTAACATGCCAGCCCCGTGCCACCTTGGCCCCCTCCAGACTTTGGGCACAGCAGAGGACGGGAGGAAGGTCATGCGAGTGCTGAGAGAAGCTTGGCAGAGGCCTGCAGGTGCCCCAGAGCACAGCCTGGGTACTGTGAGTACAGTGGAGGGCAGGTTGATGGTAGCAGGAGGTAGACAGGCTCCTGGACAGAAAGGGGTGGATCCCCCATGAAGCCCCAACTTCAAGCTGGAGACAGCCTGAAGCTGAGGGCTGGGCTGCCAGTTCTGCAGACCAGAGTGAGAACTCACAGTGCTTTTTCTGGGCCTGCCCATGGACCAACCAGTATGCACTTCCTCCCCTCTGAAGCCCATAAAAGCCCTGGACTCAGCCAGACTGGCAGACATGGGGACGATCTGCCTGTGTAGGGGAGCTACCCACTGTGGATCTCCTCTCAGCTGAGGGCTGAGCAGATGTCTGGACCTGTCTGTGTAAAGGAGCTACCCACTTCAGTCTCTTGAGAGCTGTACTGTCACTCAACAAAGCTCCTTTTCACCCTATTCACCCTACAGACGTCCACATATCTCATTCTTTCTGGACATAGGACAAAAACTTGGGACTCACTGAATGGTGGGACAGAGAGAGCAATAACATAAACAGCTGAAACTCCCCCCTCGCTCACCATGTTGTGGGCAATGAGAAAAAGAGAAGTGCTGTAGCCCTTCAGGGAGCCCAGACCTAGGTGCTCCCGAACCAGGGCTGTGACACCCTCTTTGGGGCACTGTGGTTCCTGGCATATCCAAGTTTCAGGCACCACCGCGTTCTCCAGTGCCAGCAGTGGAAGCCACTTGCGATATGCCTGGTCCAGCCACAGCCTTGCAGGATCCGGCACCCATGCCAGCACCTGGAGCTCCCAACCCAGTCACAGCCAGCATGCTTGGCTGTGCACAGCAGCCAGACCCCATGTTCACCTGCTCATGCATCCCTCCCCTCTGTGCCTGGATTGCCTTTGGCAGACGTGGGATCCAGGCCAGTAGTGCAAGCACAGCCTGAAAGAACAAGTAAGCAGAATAAGCCCAGTAGGCCTGAGCAAAACTTGGGCAAAGGGGTCACCAGTCACAGAGGTTTCCAGTTGGCAAAACAACATGCCAAGGATCCTGTGACAATAGCATTATTGTCTCACCTCTATTTTGTGATGATACTTGATCCAGATTAAGTGGATCACTTACATTTATAAACTATTAGATGCCCACATGTAGAATGATTAATCAATTATAAAGCTGGGTGAGAAATGATGGTACAGGGAAAGGGGTGGGAAAGAACGATACACATCTAGCAACATACTTCTTATTACCAGCCTTTTTAAAGTCTTAATTCTCTAGGTGATTCCCAGACAATTAGTTTGAAAACATCATAAATGATATGGACACAGATAAAAGCTTTCCGAATGGTAAATATTTTCTAACTAGAAGTTATTTCACTATCCCCTTAATGACCTATGCTACAGTTCTTCTGGAGTATTTAACGGAGTGAGCAATAATGGATAACACCAGCTACATGTAACTAGAAGAACCTTGCAAGATAAAGAAAAATAATACAAGCAATTATTAGCAAGGGCACCTCTTAAAAGTACCAAGAATACCTCTCTGGTGGCCAGTTATTGCCAACTGGCATGTGACAGCCTCTGTGAACTACATCTTCATCTTTAAAAAAACAACTAAGAGAATCTTGGGTTAAGGTTTATTCTACTTCCATTATAGCTCCAAATCTAACTAGGCTGGTATAAGGTAGTGTGAAGAAAGGCTCTGTATTATAAATTTTTTAAAACCTGGTAAATCAAGACTCCCACTAAGCATTCTTTAATGTCATTATTTCAACCTACTTTAAGAAAATGAATGACATGATAATACTTTACCTTTCTCAAGCTTTCATATTCCTCACGAAGTTCCCCAGTCTTGCTTAATTTGATTGGTGCTCTGAATATAAAGTCTGGAAGAAAGGGAAAAGAAAATACTTTTTAACAGGACTTTCTAGGAAGGAACTAAGATCTTGTCCTACTGCTCCCCTCATGCTATAAATCACATTAAAATTTGTGGTCATCTTAATTTGAATATGCATTCACTCACTTAACAAATATTTATCAAAGGTTACAAATCAGGCATGGTTCTAAGCACAATACAGTCCTTGTTCTCTTGCAGCTTATCATCTTGTGGAAGAAAACAGACAATAAACAAGCATGTATATATGTGCTACAACTGGGGTACTAAGTGCTATGAGGGAAAAGTATAGGCTATATATATATACAGGGTTGTCTAGAAGGGGCTAACTAATAAAGTAACATGTTAAAAGACATCAAGGAAAAACTACATTTAAAGCATTTGAGTTCAATGTTACTGAGTGACATTTTAAATGAGCTGAAGATTTTATTCACAATATTGTATTTTCCTTTTCTCAACACTGCCATAGTATTTTCCTGTATACAAAATGCATATACTCTTGTATGTATTTTCAGTATATAACCTGATTTGTTTTTGTCCTCAAAGCCTTCAGTGATTGGCCTATAGAATAAAGTCACAACTTTTCAACATGTCATTCAAGGTTCTTCAGAGACTGACCACAACTTTAACTTTCTAAAGCACTGTACAGATCAACCCTGTCTGTCTAGTCACAACATACATACAGCATTTTAAAACCTTTTATGCTATTTCTCAACTGAAATTCTGTCTTCTTCCCTTTTCTACATATTTTTAAATATAAGATCTCCGGTCATAGGAGGCACAGTACATGTGGGTTATATAAATAGAAGATAAAAATCAAAGCTAAGAACAGAATAAATGGTAAGTCCTAAATAGTATCAAAAAGGTGGAGCAAAGTACACAATTCTGCCTCCTTAAATGTACATGACACTTCTTTATACCCTCAATGTATATTTGAAGTCTAAATATATACTAATTTTTAAGACTTACTAATAACTCTACATCCCACTGAGGTTGATAAATATTTGTTATAAAAAAGGAGTCTCCCCAAAAAGTTGCCTTTTGTCCTTTTTCAGTTGTCTCAACTATCTTATTTTTTTTCCCTGTATTTCCCTCACAGAGGAATAAACTATTTCAGAAAGACTTTTATTTAGTATACTGAGTAATGTAGGAGGTATTTAGATAGAAACACTGGACAAATAGGCCCTAAAGCAAATATACAAAACAATAACATAAACCTTTACCAACCACTATAGAATTGTTAGACCTAGGTTTGGGAGGCAAACATTCCATCACCTTCACCCACTTGAATAAAAAGTCCAAGGCTGGGCATGGTGGCTCACGCTTGTAATCCCAACATTTTGGGAAGCCAAGGCAGAAAGCTTGCTTGCATCCAAGAGTTTGAAACCAGCCTGGGCAACAGAGCAAGACACCATCTCTATAAAAAATAAAAAATGAACCAGGTGTGGCAGCATGCGCCTTGCCTGTAGTCCCAGCTACTTGGAAGGCTGAGGTGGGAGGATCACTTGAGGCCAGGAGGTTGAGGCTGCAGTGAGCCAAGATGGTGCCACTGAACTCTAGCTTGGGCAACCGAACAAGACCCTGTCTCAAAAAGAAAAAAAAAAAACTCCTGATGCCTATTTTAGTTCCTTAAGCACATTTAGAATTATAAGCAAACTGTGTTTAAAATTAAATGTTTAAAAAAAGGGGGGGGTAGAAAGCCTTAGGGAAAGTAAATACTTTACATCCATTTACTAAAAACCTATTACACGTATATTAATGTAAATATACATTTTTTTCTCAGTGAATTTTCACAGAAACTTGGTAAGGTAGGTATTATGCCCATTTTACAATAAGAAAACTGAGGGATTAAATGACTTAGCCCAAAGTTATAAAGCTAGTGCATGGCAAAACAAGGAGAAAAGATTTAATAGGAATAAGGAAGGAAATACATGATTAAAAAGGTAACCCCCATCTGGAGTTGAGCCCACTCTCTCCCCTTTTACAAACTCCCTTGTAGTAGCCTTCCTTGAATATATTTTCCTTACTATCTTTTTTTAAAACAAGAGCAACCCATCAAGAAGATGTAACAATGATAAAACCTGTATGAACCTACAACACAGCAAAAATAAATAAGACTATATGAAGAAATTAATCAAAAATTAATGTAAGAAATTTTTTAGCACACTGCAATTTAAAACAGATAGATCAGGCAGGGCACGATGGCTCACACCTGTAATCCGAGCACTTTGGGACGCCGAGGCAGGCAGATCACCTGAGGTCAGGAGTTGAAAACCAGCCTGATCAACATGGTGAAACCCCATCCTTACTAAAAACAACACAACAACAACAATAACAGCTGGGCGTGCTGGTGGATGCCTGTAACTTGGGAGGCTGAATCAGGAGAATCCCTTGAACCCAGAAGGTGGAAGTTGCAGTGAGCCAATATTGTGCCACGGTACTCCAGCCTGGGTGACAGAGTGAGACTCCATCTCAAAAAAACAAACAAACAAAACAAACCAGGCAGACCAAAAGGTCACAAAAATATAGAAAAACCGAACAATAAAACTAATTTGGCCATGTGTGTATATAAACATTAACTCAGTCATGTGTGTGCATATGTGTGTGTATGTTTATGCATATATAAACCCCCAATGAACAGAATGTATATCTCTTAAGGCAAACAATTTAAAATACGGATGATACATTAGGTCATAAAGATGCTTGAAAAAATTTCAAAAAATTTATATTACACATACTTGCTCTTTGATCCTGGTTGCCATTTTCCAGGCCTAGTTTTCTAGCTACCAAGTTGGTAATTTTGGGCTACCTAATATTCTTTTTCAATAAATTCCTTTTCTGATTAAATTTACCAGAGTAGATTCTTGTCAATTGCAACCAACGACCCTAGTGATTCAATTTTTTACATGGTACCTTGAAATAATCAATAAACCAGTCTCTAGTAAAACCGATTAAGAAAGAAAAGAGAGAAGATAAAATAATATTAATAAAAAGGAAGTTCTAAATACAGATGTCAAGGTGAGTTTAGTTTAAAACTCCAGAGACTATTAAAAGAATGCTATAATGAATATCTTGCATATATATCATTTTACATGTCTACAAGTGTACACACAGGATAAACTGCTGGAATCAGAATCACTGGCTCAAAGGTTATGTGCTCTTTGAGAGGTTCACCAAACTGCCCTTCTGTCATGAAGCCTGTATCAATTTATAGTCCTACCAGCAATGCATGACCGTGCCGTTTCCTCACACCTCCTTTTTCTCTCACACAACTCCTTTTAACTTTTTTCAGAGATGAAGTCTCACAGTGTTGCCCAGGAGGGTTTTAGAGATGAGGTCTCGCAATGTCGCCCAGGAGGGAGTGCAGTGGCTATGCATCGGCATGATCATAGTGCCCTGCAGCCTCAAACTCCCAGCCTCAAGCGAGCCTCCTGCCTTAGCCTCTTAGGAAGCCAACCTTCTCACATCTTTTCCAACACCATGAGTGCTGAAACCTTTGAGCTTTGCTAATCTAATAGATGAAATTTTCCATTTACATGCTTATATTTTATGAGTGAAATTGAGCACTTTTATATGGTTAAGAATAATTTTCCATTTCCTTTGATATGAAATGCATATGCATTTCCTTACTCCTACTTGTGTTAACTTTTTCTTGATTTGTCAAAGCTCCCTATGTCAGAAAAATTGTCTTTATGTCACATGAATAGCAATACTTTTCCCAGTTTATCATTTGTGTTGACTTTGTTTATAGTGGTTATTTTTACATAGTTATATTAATTAAACTTTAATGGCTTCTGTATTTTTTATTGTATTTGGAAAGACTTTCTTTCAGGCCAAGATATAATAACAAATCCCAACATATTTTTTTCTGGTAGAATGCATAAAATTCTTCTCAGTTCTACTTTTTGAAAATTCTAAATCTTTATTTTTATTTGAGAAGCAACATAAGGAGCATAATCTTATCCAGGCTTATAAATAAGTATACTATCCAACACAAGAAACCAAAAATATTTTAGCAATATCCTGGTAGAAATGGTAATTTTCACTTATTATTGGAGAATTTGCTTGCTCCAAAATACTTCACTGATAATTAGTACAAAATGTCTCAAGAGCTTAACATCTTCATCTTTTACATAAGTAAGCCTGATCCCCAACTTAGAAGCTTCAGAGCTTTGGATAAGTCTGTCTCAACTTCCTCTTCTGTAAAATCAGAATACCCATCATCACAGGTTATTATAAAGATCAAATGAGTGTAACAAGAGTAAAAACACTTCGGAAACTATTTTAGCCAGTAGAGTGGCATGCAGCAGAATTTACTAAGTATAAAATTGTCTGCTATTGGTAGGATAACATTCTTTAAATTGTGGTTTGGTTCAATTTACTTGCAAGTATAATTTATAAGAAACAAAGATAATCTCCAGGTATGGTGGCTCACGCCTATAATCCCAGCAATTTGGGAAGCTAAGGTGGGAGGATCTCTTGAGGTCAAAAGTTCAAGACCAGCCTGAACAACACAGAGAGACCTCATCTCTGCAAAAAACAAACAAACAAAAAAACCCCAACAATTAGTAGGGCATGATGGTGCACACCTATAGTCCCAACTACTCAGGAGGCTGTGGCAGAAGGACTGCTTGAGCCCAGGAGTTTGAGCCTGTAGTGAATGATGATTGTGCCACTGAACTCTGGCCTGGGCAATAGAGTAAGATTCCAACTCTTAAAAACAAAAAAAGAAACAAAGATAATGTTCCAACTACTTTGATATATATATTACATAAAAAGTTAAATTCACTTTGGTATATTTATTAAGAAATCTCAAAGTTCATATAAGACCAAGGAGGAACTCAGCATAATGACTGAAATCTTACTATGCCTCTGGCTTATTTGACAGCAAAAGGTGATGGGGAGGGGTAGAGGTAGGGTACTAATTTTTATTTATCAAAATTAGTACTGATATTAATCATTTAGTTGGATTAAGATGAACAATGTTTAATG